TTTATTTTGTTTTTATGAACTTTAATATACAAAAAACATTGAAAGAATTTTGATATTTAGTTACTTAAAATTAAATATGTTGTAGTCACGTATTGTTCGGTACGTATGTTCGTAAAAGGTTAAGTTTAATAAATTATCGGCTATACTAATTAAGCTGCACCCATATTTAGTTGTATGCGATGAAATCTTTAATATTAATCTCTGTAAATATTTCTTGGGAATATTCGAATCACGAAAGTTTTTAAGCAGTCTATATTTTTTAATTGGATAGCGCACATATTATATACGATATAAGATAATACTATTGTAAAAAATACATAAAAGGTTCTCAGCTTGTCACTTGACCCTAGGGGGCATACGACGATTGCACGAGTCGATATTCCTTATTGTGGCGGATTCTAGATGTATGTACATATATGTAAATACCATCACATCTTTATCGTAAAAGAGATCAGGATGCAGAGTATATTCAAGCCGTCTATACCAGACTTGAGAACTCCTTCAATCGTTCGCTTTGAGTAGTATTTTATATAATTGTCAAATTATGCAATCAGACGAAGTGCCCAGGGCGAAGGCTTTGGGTGGTTGCATCCCGCGACAACATTAAAATTTAATGGATTTTTTTGAATTGACAACTAGACAGACTTGCAATTGCATATTGTCTTAACAACTGTCCAATCGATGGACTCAAATTATGCACAATTATACGAATTGAGCAAGGACTGTCTCTTTGGCAATCGACTAATTTACGGTCAGCACTTGCAGTTGACGGTCAGAATGGATCGGACTAATATTGTGAGGCTCTGGCTGTTCATTGGCGTAAGCCTGGTTACTGCTAAAGAGCTTAAGATAAGTATGCACACTTCTTGTCGGAATACTCAAATCAATTGGTTTAATCTTAACATTTCTCTCGCTTTACCGCCAGCCTTTTGGGTCGAGCCAGTACAGAGAGCAGAGTTTGAAACTGATATTGCGGCTGTTCTTAGGGAGCTGAAAACTTTGCAGTTGGATACGCGGATCAGCGATGCGGTGGTACAACTAAGTCGCACCGACGACCAACAGGACATGGACAGCTGTGAGTAAAGGGGGCTATCTGTGTGTATTGCATTTTTTGATCACAATATCCCCAATTGGGACTAGCGTAGTCTGTGAGATTCTTGGCAGCGTGGGCAGTTCGGTGATTATCGATCTGAGTTACAGTCGCTGGTCTGACGGCTACGAGCTGGCTCATACATATGGCCTTGCTTATGTGCGTTTCGACCGTATAATGCGTCCCTTTCTGAACATGTTTGCCGATTTTATGCGCCAGAAGCGGGCCAATAATGTGGTTATGATTTTCCAAAATTCCCGCGACACCATGGAGGCCATGAAGCAGCTAATGACCGGTTATCCATTCCGCGCTCTTATTCTGGACGCCAGTGATAAGCAATCGGAGGACTTTGTTGAGCGGCTGGTTCGACTGAGACCCGCTCCCAATTACTATGCCATATTTGCCCGCGGCGCTGCTATGAATGGAATCTTTGAGCGCGTGAGTAAAATCGAATGCAGCTTGCAAACATTTAGAAAGTGCTATAGACCATTGCAGGTCAATATGGGTAACCTTTTCCAGCGGCCCACCGAATGGCATTTCGTTTTTCTCGATACCAGAGATCGCGTTTTCAAATACAAACAACAGGTGGAGTTTTCTACGCGCTTCACCTTGAACGCACGTGCCATCTGTCGATCGATGCAGATGCGAGACCTTTATTGTGGCAGTGGATTCACGGTAAGCCTTAAAAAGGCACATTTGATTCGCTTGCTGATTGAAATCAGACTTAAAACAAGTAAGAACGTCGCAGTCGGCCGATACCGATTACAGAATACTCAATCACTACCCAAGCACTTTCAATCAGAGTATATAGTGCAATTTTTATACCCTGATCCCCTTTTTTAATGGGAAATCAGGGCATAAGGGGTTTGTTAAAATGTATGTAACAGGCAAAAGGAGGTGTGGCAAACCCCACAAAGTTATATATTCTTGATCAGCGCGACGAGCTGAGTTAATTTGGCCCTGTCCGTCTGTCCGTATGTATGAACGCGTCGATTTCAGAAGATATAAGAGCTAGAGACTTCAAATTTTTTTTCAAAATGTCCGTAATTACAGCGCGGATATCTAGTTTATCGATAAAACGACATTAAAAAAATTTGAAGTCTCTAGCTCTTATATCATCTGAAATCGACGCGTTCATATGTACATAGACAGACGGACAGACAGACGGACAGGGCCAAATCGATTCAGCTCGTCACACTGATCAAGAATATATAAGTATGTACATACATTTCAACAAAACCATTATACCCAGATTTCCCATTTTCAATAGGTTCAGGGTACAATATAGTTATTTTGACAAAATGCAAACTTGAAGATATTTGTGTCGAGACAAGTCAAGAATTTTATTTAGGAAAGCAACGCAGATAAGGTAATACAATTTTCAATTTAATTTTGTGGACATAAAAACATTAGTTGACAGTCCCGGAATGGGCTCCGGCCCAGATGGTCACCCTAAACTATACTGATATTTGTAATTTTTTGAGCATCGTAAACATTGCTGCAAAACGAAACGAGAGTAAAACAAAACCTTAAATAGTAATATGCTTGAGATAGTCTAAGCTAGCAACACTAGCTGATAGCTGAAACGAAAACAAAACTTAAATGATGCTTTATATTTTCTTTCGTTCGTTGGTTCTTTATTGTATAAGCATTTGCATACCGAACTTCTCGGTTTGTAAGCATAGCTCGTTTTGTTTCGGTCGTCCGCGATGCTTGGGCTTACACTATTCAAAAAACAAGACAGTGAGACAGCAAGCACTACCAAAAMACGAGTGTCTCGTTTAGCGTTTCAAATGCATTGGTGCAGGCCTCTAGTGCGTGTGTTGTTTCTCTCCAGGTGGTTTATGGGATTCCGTAGTCGAGCAATCTCGACTATAGCTTACTTACTTGTTTTCTTATTGTACCCAGCCCGTTCTAAATGAACTTACACATTTGAATGTTATCTAAGAATGACTGAATCTTTGCAGTTACAACGCGCCTTGCTGTTGAGTGTGCTAAGGAGTCTGATTGACTCGGCGGAGATGAGTCCAGAATTTCCAGAGCCAGTTTATCTGAACTGCAGCAGCAGTATTGAAGCAAATAGTGGAGCTGCAGCCAAAAGCCTGGAGAATGTACACTGGAGCAACTTTGTGGGGTATGTGCCGAGCAGCGAGGATCCCTATACCACCGAAGCGCAGATTGAGGCGAGCGATGAGGAGTCGGTGCCACATTTGACGTTTGTGGCCAACATTTCCGCAGGCTACTATTCGAGTGAGCATGAGGCCAAGACGGATTTGGCCATTTGGGTATCGGGCACACTTCGACTTCTCAATGAGACAATTAGTCCAACTAGACGGTTTTTTCGAATCGGCACCGCTGAGAGCGTGCCGTGGAGCTATTATCGCCGCGATCCGAACACTGGTGAGCTGATCCTCAGCAAAAGCGGTGCTCCCATCTGGGAGGGCTACTGCATTGATTTTATAAAACGGTTAGCAGAGAAGCTCAACTTTGACTACGAAATCGTTGCACCCGTACAGGGGCACATGGGCGAGCGCAATGAGCGGGGCGAGTGGGATGGCGTAATTGGCGATTTGGTAAGTGGTGAGACGGACTTGGCCATCGCTGCACTTAAAATGTATTCGGAGCGTGAGGAAGTGGTTGACTTTCTGCCACCCTATTACGAACAGACTGGCATTTCTATAGTGATGCGAAAACCGATTCGACGCACCTCGCTATTCAAGTTTATGACGGTGCTGCGGCTTGAGGTCTGGTTGAGCATCGTTGCCGCCCTAGTGGGCACAGCGTTGATGATCTGGTTCATGGATAAATATTCACCCTATAGCTCACGCAATAATCGCGACGCTTATCCGTATGAATGCCGCGAGTTTACGCTTCGCGAAAGTTTCTGGTTCGCCCTGACCTCATTCACACCGCAAGGCGGCGGTGAGGCTCCGAAAGCCGTTTCCGGACGCTTGCTGGTTGCTGCATATTGGCTGTTCGTGGTGCTCATGCTCGCCACGTTTACGGCCAACTTGGCTGCGTTTCTTACGGTGGAGCGTATGCAGACGCCTGTACAGTCGTTGGAACAGCTGGCGAGACAATCTCGCATTAACTATACGGTGGTCAAGGACTCCGACACGCATCAGTATTTTATAAATATGAAGTTCGCCGAGGATACGTTGTATCGCATGTGGAAGGAGCTGGCATTGAATGCATCCAAGGACTTTCGAAAGTTTCGAATTTGGGACTATCCCATTAAGGAACAGTTCGGACATATTTTGCTAGCCATTAATAGCTCATTGCCGGTCGCGAATTCGACAGAAGGATTTAAAAATGTGGATGCGCACGGCAATGCGGATTATGCTTTCATACACGATTCAGCAGAGATCAAGTACGAGGTAACTAGGAACTGCAATCTGACAGAGGTTGGTGAGGTGTTTGCCGAGCAACCCTATGCTGTTGCCGTGCAGCAGGGCAGCCATCTGGGTGTAAGTATTACATAATTTTCATATGAAAAGCTGTTCACCTCGATTTATGGGCAGGATGAGCTGAGCTATGCAATTTTGGAACTGCAAAAGGATCGCTTTTTCGAAGAACTCAAAGGCAAATACTGGAATCAATCAAACTTGCGCCTGTGTCCGCTGTCTGATGACCAGGAAGGTATCACCTTGCAGAGCTTGGGTGGTGTTTTCATAGCCACCTTGTTTGGCCTTATTATAGCCATGATAACGCTCGTCATTGAGATAATGTACTACCAGAAAAAGCAGAAGTCCTTAGCGCTGGTAACCCAGGTTAAGCCTCTGAATATGAACGAGTTCACAAAATTTGCCTGGCTTAACACAGAAGGGGCAGACAATGATATAACAAAGAAAGTGAAAGCACCACCCAAGAAGCCAACTAAAGTGACACCGCCACCTTCATTTGAAGCTGCTACGTTTCGAGGCAGGAAGACAGCTGGAAGTGTAACGCTGGGTACTGGAAAGTTTAAACCCAGTGCTCGAGAACATGGACTACATTTTCGTCGGGACCTGACCGACACACAGTCTCGCATAGCTTATATAGAATAAATTGAATTTTTTTCAACTGGTCTTAGTTGTTTCTACCATTATTTTATGTTTTACTGTCTTTTTAAAGCTCATTCATAAATGTGGAATGGGTACATAAAATGGGGGCCGTTGTCTATGTGTATGTTCATATGAACGTAAAGCTGTGCAGCACTATTAGGACTAAAGGCTTGCCATTTAGAATATTTATGCACATACTTGTGGGTAACCTTTTGACATTGTTCCGATTTTCTCATTACTCTGAATAAAATTCTAGACAGCTGGAATTTGATAAAAAAAAATTGATGGTGGACAGATCTACGCCCATAGGGAACGAGGCGAACAGCAAAGGCTTTTGAATTATTGCTAATCCCAATCAATGGCCCGAAAAAGCATTTAAGTCTCTTAAGAACAGTGGTCAGTGATATTACAAAGAAAAAGTAATTAGCCACAGCTTTAAAGCGCGAGCCTCAAAATTATATTGTTATTTTTTCATAGAATTCTAATGTAATACTGAAGCTTTTAAAATTTCTATTATTAGAGGAGTCCGAATATTTTTTTCCTGTTGACCTCTTTTGATTAAGCAAAGGGTCTACATTGTATGTACATACATATTTATACCAATCAGAGGCGAGGAAAATACATACAAACACAGAAAAAAAAAAACTACTGTATCTCTCAATGTTGTGGGGCTGGCAACGATGGTCAATGAGTATTCTGCAGTTGATATTCTTCTTAAATATTTTTGATTGTAAATTCAAAATAGCTTAAATAAATGTCTTGCCATAGATGTATTCATTCAAATAGTTTACTGCCTTTTCAATGTCAAAAACCAACAAAAAATTCTTTAAATGTCTAAATTTGGCTAATGACTCAAAGTTTATCACTTACATACATATGTATGTACGCATTGGGTTTGTTTTGCAAGGTTTCAGTTGCTAAGGTTGTAATTTATTTGCATCGAAGCTTTTTTTTTTAATATATATATTTTGTTAACCAAAAATAAGCTTTTGTCATTCATCTTTGATACGTGTATTTAAGATTTTAAAGGCCATATATATTTTTAGACAACATAAATTTTAAATTTGTGATAGCTGCGCTGCGGTCCTGAAAATGATATCGATTAATCGATAAGAATTTTGCGCATCACAAAGAGTTCCAATGTATTTGCTGCAACTTTTTTTATTGTGCCCTACAAGACGACAAACATAAATTTTAAGTTATCGCTTAACTGTGGATAATTGTGATTGCAACATCAGCAGAATAGGCAAAACCGTAGCAAATCGAGACTAATACCCATATCGTTTTCGATAGATGCAAAAAGTGCCACATGGGCTACAGGCACTGCAGGCAAAATAAACAAAAGCAAGAAAAATGCGTGCGCTAATGCCAGCGCACATATTAAATATTAAATCAATATTTTCTACAATAATCACGGTGTTACTCATTTCTCCAAATGTGGTTTTATCGCGTAAACATCACTTGGAAGTTCGCGTAAGTAAATGTAAACTTCCATTAACTGATCCCAAAGTTTATTTGACATGTGCTTATATGTATGTACAATATACATCTATGTATATATGTATACATATGTAAATATGTTTGTTCATTTGCAGAATGATATGCGTCCGTACATTGCGTTGAGCACCTTCGGCTTTTACACAAACGGGCATTTGGATGTCCAGCTTAGTCAGTTGACTGTGGATGATGAGCAGGCAACCGATTTGGTGTGTATAATGATACCATTGCTTGCATATGACAAGAATTTGTAACTAACATACATATATGCATATATGTTATGGGATTACAGTTCGGTCTATCTCTGGATAAGACAACTATTGATCAGCTCAATCCCTACCTGGACTCGCACCAAAACAAGTGCATATTAGAAGAGCCCCCATCCAAACAAAAAAGTGGCCCAATACTTTTTTTTCTACTCGATCTGAAGGAGCTGAAGTATGTTTCTAATTGATTCTACCGAATGGGTTATATATAAATTTGCATTCTTTCAGAGTACGCGTAAAATGCTCGCCAGAATGGGTAAACAAACATGTCTACAAGGATGTCATGTACCGTCACAAGCGCAACTCACATCTGACTAAGGTCAGCGATTCGGCATTATTTATGCAGAAGCGTCGACGTCGGGCTGTGGTTCCAATTGGCTCCGTGGAAGCTGATGATGACATGGATGATCATTCGTTTGAGGAGCCCTTGCAGCCAGAGATGGAGGCAGCTGAGGCTGTGGCTGGTAAAATTGACGGAGCTGCTAAGGCGGATGTGGCAAATGTTAAAGATACGATAGCAGAAGCAGCCGGTGTTAAACACAAACAGTTCTCTGTTTTGCAAACAAAGGAAGAGTTAGCCGCGAGTGCACCCTCGGCTTTAGCCGTGCCGTCCTCTGCTCGCATGGCTGTAGTCACAGGTGGCAACAGTGAATCACAAGTTGGCGCTGCAGGTATTTACAGCGTTAACATCGATGCTAGTGCCATGGCTGTTGCATCATCGACGTCACCTAGTAGTAGCAATAAGAAGATAAAAAATGATGGTGATGCTGAAGTGCAGCCAGCAATGCCTGTAGACAGAGCCCTCATAACAGGCTCGGTGTCTGACTTTTACGACTCCAACTATTACAGACAGTCGCAAGAGGAGTTATGCAGAAATTTCTCTCTGCCGCTCAACAAGATAACGGTTGACGGTACCAACTACTACAACTTCACATTTTCCATGTTTGTAGCAACGCAGCATGATGAGGGACTGTATAATCTGTACTTCCATGCCTGTCCCAATTATCAACGCCCCAAGATCTTGTCGTTTAATGTGAGTTCTGTAGCGATAGCATCAATAACCAAATTAATTGATGTTTGTTTAGGTGGATATTGAGGAGAACAATAATGGCAACTATTTGTCAGCTGGAGAAATGCCGCTGCCGGCCTTGTACTGTATGATGAGTCTGTTATTCTTTTTGTCCGGCCTATTCTGGGTATTCATTCTGAAGAAGAGCAAGTGAGTGCATAGTGTAAATAGACGGATTTCTTTTGATTCATAATGTATTATTGCATTGCAGGCACACCGTTTACAAGATACACTACCTGATGGCTGTGCTTGTGTTCTTAAAGTCGCTCTCTCTTATGTTCCATTCAATCAATTACCATTTTATTGAGAAACGTGGCGAGCATGTCGAAGCATGGGCCATACTCTACTACATTGCGCATCTATTGAAGGGTGCTGTCCTGTTTATCACTATTGTGCTCATTGGTACCGGTTGGACATTCATCAAACATATACTCTCCGATAAAGATAAAAAGATCTTCATGATTGTCATTCCGCTCCAGGTTGCCTACCAATTATTTTGTGTTTTGTGTTTTATGCTTATATATATGTTTTTGTGTTTCAGGTATTGGCCAATGTGGCCCAAATAATCACAGACGAATCAGATCAAAGCGACGCTGAATTCCGCACTTGGCACAATATTTTCTTCTTTGTGGACTTGCTCTGCTGCGGCGCTATACTGTTTCCCATCGTATGGTCTATCCGCCATTTACATGAGGCGTCCGCCACGGACGGAAAGGCGGCAATTAATCTACGCAAGCTAAAACTTTTCCGGCAATTTTACATTATGATCGTCTGTTACATTTATTTTACGCGCATTATTGTGGACTTGCTGCAGATGACGGTCGTCTTTCAGTATGCCTGGTTGGACGAGATGTTTCGCGAGATGGCCACATATGTGTTCTTTGTGCTTACTGGCTACAAGTTCCGTCCAGTCTCTTCACATCCATATTTCACAGTGCCCGATGACGAGGAATACGACGATGTTGAGGTGGTTACCGAATCTGGTCTCACCGCATCAGTGCATCGTGTTAAGCCGCACAATCGGTCAGCTCAATCTAACACTATAACTATTATCGAGGGGAATGATGATGAGCGCGAGAATCTGATTGCGAAGCGAGAATCAAGCCATGAATACGATTAGAACTTTGGATAAAGCTAATCACATATACATATATACATGCCTACACACATGCACGCGTGCACACACTCGCATGCATACAAAACGACAGTCATATATATATATATATATGACTGTCGTTTTGTATGCATGCATATA